AAGATTGTAGCTGGCTAATATGAAGTATTAAACTGGTTGGATTGAGTGCCAGATGTAGCAGTTGACACTGTCTGAGATTATAATCTGTCCCTGTGTGCATAAAATACATTTATCACACTTCATTTAGGGCTGGAAATTGAATCATTCAACACGTGAGTTGGTCTGGGTAGGATAGGGTTTGTATTTGCCTTTTAAAGCTGTGTTCTGACTCAGTACCTGCATTCCTGTGTGTTGGAATAAATACAGAAGAATTAGTAACCTCTTGCATCTTCTGTAGTAGCTGCAAATGCTTTAAATTGCATCTGCTCACCAGCTCCCAAATGCTCTGAGACATGTTGCAGCCTCTTCCCAAAATACCTGGCAATCTAGAGGAGTGACTGGCTAATACTCTAGTTAAGACTTCACTTGCCAAAAAAGCAGAGAGCAAACGTTTGCTACTGGATTGTCCTTAGTCATGTGCTGGCTGCTGGGGGCTTAGCAAAATGTCCCATTTACATGCTGCTTCTCAGTGCTTGGCTTTATCAACCCATTAAAATGTGTTAAGTGAAATCCAGGTCTTACTCAGTATTCCCCTAGCCATATATATTATGTTATTAGAGGTATTTGATATAGGAGGCTAGTGCCTGTCTCTCTTCACTTCAGCTGTATTTTTCCCTTTTCAGAATAGGCTACATCACAGAAGCATAGAAATGTAGGACAGGAAGGGCCCTCAAAGTCATTTAATCCAGCCCCCTGTGCTAAGGCAGGACCAAGTCAACTTTGCTTATCCCTGATAGCTGTTTGTCTAACCTGTTCTTAAAACCCTCCAGTGATGGGGATTCCACAACCTCCCTAGGAAACTGTTCCAGAGCTTAACGCCCCTGAGAGTTACAAAGTGTTTCCTAAGATCTAATCTAAATCTCCCTTGCTGCAGACGAATCTCATCACTTCTTGTCCTGTGTGCAGTGGACATGGAGTACAGCTGGTCACTGTACTCTTTCGAACAGCCCTTAGCGCACAAAGATTGTGATCTGTTCCCCTCTGTGTTCTTTGCTAAAGACCAATCTTTACCACAGGATATTTCTAGCTGCTTTATTCCAAGATGTGTTGCCTGCCCTGGTAGACCTTCAGGTGCACAGCTGACAGCTTTGAAGATTTTAAGCATCAATATCTGTTATCCGGGCTCAGATGGAAGTGATTTCAGTTAGGCTGTGATGAATTTATTAATGACCGTAAAAGTTCTAGATGGAAAAGTGATAGGTATTGCTCAACACCTTTAGGATAATACAATGTTAGGCTTGCAGGGCAGCTGTTTATTACGGTTTTTGTTGCTGAGGTTTTTAGTTTTCCAGGCGACTCCTGCTTGCTGTGCTGCTTTAATAAAATATATAGCCCCCCAAATGCTGATGGCAGGAGGTGCAAACCAGTCTATACCGTGAAAGTCGGCGTGCAGGAAGTGACTCCATATGAAACCACCACAGTCCCTGATTCCCATCTGTACTGTGCATGTGTATTACTTCAACACAAAATCCTTCGAAGGGAAGGTTACAAAATGTGTATTTACCTAATGCACCTGACCCGCTCAGCTGCAATTATCTCTTAATCTGGGCGTTCTGGGTCTCTCTGGTAAATACAGCTTTAGCTGTGCTTCAAGGCATATTACCTCACTAAGTGTGTGTTTTGGCACGTGCATTATTTACCTGATAGACTAACAGATACAAAGGAGCCATTGCTGTCTCTTGTGTAAATAACCACAGGTCATCCTTTAGTTTCTTTGAGGCAATTTTTGTTTTGTGGTGTAAATCTGGCTCCTCTTCCTATCCACCCAGGGGTGTTTCCTGCCCTCTGGGCCAGTGCCAGAGACACTGTGCTTGCACCAAGGGGAATCTGCGCTTGGTTCCTCTGCACTCTTAAGAAACTAAGCAAAAGCAAGACATCCTCACTTGCACATCAGGGAGGATGTGTACCGCTCACAGCTGCCAGCACCTAGCTGTCCTGTGTCTTCTCTCCAGTCTAGCTTGGGCGCTGTTTGGAAACAGGCTCCGTACCTCCCTGCAGGTGCTGTGTATGAGACACTCCAGGTGCCGCAGGGTCACGTGACGGCTGAGTGATCTGTAAAACTGCCACAGAATTTTTAGGTCTCAAACAGAGTATTGAAAAAAATCCCCCTGAGTGTTTTATTTCAGGGCAGTGGGTGGAATCAATCCACCTTAACCAGTTTGGGTTTTGTTGAAAGGAAAATTCACCATTTAATGTCAGCATGTTAGATCAGTTCCAAACCTCACCTTGCCCCCACATCCTCTGTCCGCTTCCTCCTCTCTGTGCTCCAAATCTGTGAGCAAGAGATTGTGTGGCACCTGAGCCCTTCCCGGCGCAGCCAGACGGCATGGCTTCTGGAGGCATGTTATCGAGAGGCTGACATGGGAGTTGAGGGCGCTGTGGGTAGTGGAAGGGTCTGGCTTGACTCCGGTGGGAGTTGGCGCCAAGTGGATTTTGAAGGGTGATTTTAATGGCATCTGCACTTGTCTCATTGTGCCTAACTCCTATTACGTGTCAGTAGTAGGGATGTTAAATATCGGTTAATTGAATAGTCGATTAACCTCGTGAGTTCTTATCAATTATTGACTATTCTGTAGACTCTAGGGGTGGGGCTGGCAGCCAGTGCACTCCAACCCCACCCCCGAGGAGTCCCCTGCCACCCTGCACTGCTGCCTGTGATACAAGACAGCAGCGCAGGGTGGTAGCAGCCCCTGGATCCTGCGCAAGCTGGAACTGAACCGGGCTGCCTGCCCGCCTGGCTCCTAATACACTGTAAATGCAGAGCTGCAGCAGGGGTAGGTTCCAGACCTGACATGAGCCAGGACTGAGCTGGCCTGCTAAAAAATTTACTGGCAGGGGAAGGGGAGAAATGCATGTAGTCTATAGCGTTAACCTATAAGCTTTTGCTTATCAGTTAATCGACTACACTATTACATCCCTAGCCGGTAGACATGTATCAGGAGGCCAAGGGTCTTTCCACAGACTTCAGTGAGCTTTGCACCAGACCCCTGAGCAAGCTGTATAATGTTCTGTAGGGTGCAGACCCTGGAGCAGAGAGCGTAGTGGCCCTGTCTGTTAATGCAGAGCTAGTCGCAGAGGTGCAATCCAGGTTGCTGGTGGGCCTAGACGCTGTCACTCAGTCCCATGCTGTCTAGTGTATTTGCAGTGGGTCCCTGTATTACCTGGGTGCCTTGCCAGAACCTTGCACCAAGGGCCCCAGGTAAGTCTCTTGGTGGCAGAGACGGCTGTGCACACGCGGTGTGTGTGTATGCTAGTAACACAAGCCTCTCTCTTTCAAGTTTCAGATGCTTCTGGATTGTCAATGGTAGCGCTCTTCCATACTGGAGCAGCAAAGATTCCTCCAAGCTTACTGCTGAGGGTGAGGCCGGCTCTGTGCTCCCACCGCCCACGCTGTTTTCTCCAGGGGTGTGGCTCCATCGTACGCAGGAAACTGGCGTCCCACGGCTTCGGCGCGTCCATGGCAGCAATGTCATCCTTCCCTCCACAGAGATATCACTACTTTTTAGTGTTGGATTTTGAGGCCACTTGTGACAAACCACAGATCCATCCTCAGGTAAATATCCAGCCCGTAGCCACATGTATTCTTCCCTTGCAAGCTCTCCCCCCCACCTCCCATGCATGCAGCGGGATGAATTGCCTGTCCCCTCACGTCCCCACCCACAGTTCCGAGGCTTACCCCATGTCTGCCTGTTCAGCCCTCCTCAGCAGCTGTTGTCAGCCCAAGGGGTAGGTGGTGAGCAAAGGAGGCGTTCCTACCCCTTAGAATGGCCCTTCTGCACCACTGCCAGGCCTGTCAGTCCAGAGGGAGTGAAACCCGAAACTCAGTCTCCATCAAGACAGTGATAAGACATTTGGGGTATGAAACTTCTCCTGTCTTAGGCCTCAGATGCTTGTCAGCTCTCTGGCTTGGGGATGGATTGAGCAGGTGCTAGCGGGGAACGCTGTGTTATTGGCTCATTCCAAGTGGCCTCAGCCGTTTCCGCAGGAAAACATGTTTCTAGCTTATAAAGTGATGAAGGAGACAGTGCAGTGGTGCTTCTAGGGGTCTGCAGGTCCTTAGTAAGAATGCCTCTGAAAGGCGTGCACTTCTCCAGGCTTATCTTCTCTGGACGTTGACTCCGAAGTCTAACGATAATCAAATGCTTCAGGGGGTAGCCGAGTTAGTCTGTACAGGATAAACTTAAAAAACAACAAATGGTCTGGTAGCACTTTATAGACTAACAAAACATGTGCATGGTATCATGAGCTTTTGTGGGCACAGCCCACTTCTTCAGATGACCGGAGTTATGAGTTTAGGATGTGCAGACCCAAAATAAATAGGGAAGGGGGGGAGGGGAGAGGAAAAAGAGAAGGGATTGGGAAACAAGGAAATGAAAATATCAAAGGGAAAAACAAGTAGACGGAGCTGGTGCCTATAAGCACCTGAAGATTGGATAGTTAAAAGGAAACCGAGAAGGATCAAAGGGAACTAACACAAGAATCCACACAGAGAGCCGTTGGCACCTTCATTGACTGTTAGGTTGGTAATGTCCCAGCCAGCCATTGTCCGATTGAGGAGATGATGATAATTTAAATAGAAGCCTCCACTGAATCTGGATCTTGAGGGTGCTACTTTCAGCTTCTCACCCCTGACACTAACACCTGATGTAGACCTGTCCATGTGTCTCCATGTGCAGATGGTGGTTTCCTTGGCAGTGAAATGTAAAACGTGTTAATGACTGAAAATACTGTTCTTCATTCAAGAATGGCCATAATGGGTCAGACCCATGGTCCATATAACCTAGTAGTTTGGCTTCTGACAGTGACCAGTGCCAGACACTTGAGGGACTGAAAAGGCAATCGTGGAGTGATCCAAATTCTAGATCTAGACCAATTTCTGGCATTACATGTGAGGGACACCCAGAATGTGGGCATGCACCCTGTCTTGGCTACTAACTGTGCATGGGCCTAACCTTCGTGAACATCTCTACTTCTTTTTTGAATCTTGTTACAGTTTTGGCCTTCACAAAAACACCTGGCAATAGGTTCCCCAGGTTGACTGTGCAGTGCGTGAAAAAGTACTTCTCTTTCTTCCTTTTAAACCTTCTGTCTGTCAATTTAGTAGATTGGCCCCTGGTTCTTGGGGTACATGAAGGGATAAATAACACTTGCTTATTCACTATCTCCAAAAACTCCACTATTTTATAGACGTCTGTCATTCCCCCCTTGGTTGCCTCTTTTCCAAGTTGAAAATCCCAGGCTTTTTAACGTCTCCTCAGACGGAAGCTGTTCCGTGCCCTTCATCATTTTGTTGCCCTTCTCTGTACCTTTTCCATTTTAATATAGCTTGTTTGAAATGAGCCTACCAGAACTATACACAGAATTTAGGGTGTGGGCATATCAATAGAGTTATGATATTTTCTGTCTTATCTACCCTTTGTCGAATGGTCCCTAACATTTTGTTAGCTTTTTTTGACCGCTGCTGAACACTGAATGGATGTTTTGAGAGAATGGTCTCTTTGAGTGGTAACAGCTAATTTAGACGTTTTGTATGTATAGATGGGATGATGTTTTTAAGTGTGCATTACCTTGCATTTATCAACCCTGAATTTCGTCTGCCATTTTGTTGCCCAGTCACTCAGTTTTGTGCGATCCCTTTGTAATGTTTTGCAGTCTGCTTTGCACTTAACTATCCTCCTTCTTCAGCCCTCAGTCAGACAGTTGGCCATAGTGATTGTTTGCCATTTGGTGTGTTCCTGCTCAACTGCGAAGGCTTGATGGCTTAAGAGTCCAACATCAGAACAGACTTGATGAACTCATGTATTAGGGGGTCTGCCTCTGGGCTGCCACCACCTCTTGGATGATGGAATTTTATCCCAGATGTTACAAGCCACCCAGGGAATGTTTTTTGCTGGAACATCTTGTGGCATCTTTGCAACATGTGACATGTCCGAAAAGCAGAAGGCACCTCCTGTGGACAATAGCCCCAGTAGTCTGTAGACCCTAATGATCATAAACATCTGCTTACAAATGAAGTCGTTCCACTTCATGCTCAGTATGTGACGTTGACCTTTTGTGTGGAAAGCCTCCAGGTTTGGCCAAGTCTGCTCAATCAATGTTGTATCCATGTTGTGCAGCTGTACAACAGAATTAATCAAAGCAGTCATGGGAAGGATACAGCTCGAATGGAACCTGACGCTGGTTATCCTGCTAAGATGATGAGTCAATATCCATTGTAAAATGATTTGATGGTTTCATTGTTCAAAGAGATTGGAGTCTTGCGTGGACTTGGTCGTAGATTTAGCAGCTTTGTCTTTGACCATGAAACATGGAGACCAATCTGAGTGGACTCCTCCTCTGTATGCTGGAGTGCCTCACAAGACCTCTTGGGGGGGAGGGGTCTGTACTAAAAGAACATCCTCGTCAGGGTCTGTGAGCGAGAGATCACTGGTCTCATTGCCTGTGGACCTGACACGGTGCTGACTTATGAAGTCCATTGCCCGGCAATAGAGTGCAGGGGCCAGAACGCAACCCTGCCTAGCACCAGACACTGATTTAAAAGGCGCTGACATCTGGTTCCCTGATCAGCAAGGGCAGCTCGTCTCATCAAGTCCAGCAGAGTGGTAGAGACACCTACTACGCCCTTTATAGCCTTCCATAAGGCGACATAGTCTGCTGAGTCAAATGCATCCTTACGCTCAACAGACACCACGTGCAGGTGATTTCTGAAGTCATGGTGTATCTCCGACAACAAGTCAACAGCCAAAATGGTGTCTAATGTCTACTTGTTCCTTGTAATGCCTAACTGTTCAAGACAACTCTTCTGATCTCATAGATCTCATAGATTTTTCAGGTGTGCTAGAAAAATCATGCGCAAGCACGTTTCCTGGAACACAGAGCAGGGTGATCAGCCAGTAGCTCCTACATTCGCTGTACAGTCCTGTGCCTTTATAGAGTGAAATCACAATATCGCCCTTCCAGGCAGTTGGCAGGGTCCCACCTCTCCACACCAGACGAAAGATGGCCAGAAGTGATTCTGCTGAAGGATCAATAGCCCGTTTTAGCAGCTCTGAGGGGATGCTTTCAGTACTGGTTGCATGCCCATTTTTCAGTTTACAGCTGGCACGCTTCTCTTCAGTGTTGGTGCATTGGTACATATGTCTAGATCTGGAACTGTAGTGACTGCCAGATCATCCGGCTCTGAACTAGCAGCAGCCAGAGGCTGGTTCAGGACACTAGGATCATATTCCACCCAGCAGGAGAGAACGTCATTGTCCCACCTACCTGGATAGCCTCGGTGGTGTTCCGGATGCTGTTGGTAGTAACAACCTGTCAAGATTGTTCCCCATTCTGGCACTCTGAGTGCAGAAGAAGGGGGAACCTGCAAGAGGCTATAAAAACCTTGCCTCTGTAGTTTCTGCTTACCAAAAACTCCCCAAGGTCACAGATTTCCTGCCTTGGGGGGCAGCTGCCACCATCAAGTGTAAAACCCCTCTTTCTGAAACCCAGGAAGAAGCACTTGAACTTCTTCCAGAGGGGCACCCCCCACCCCCCCACG